AAAACCTGAGGGAACCTTTGCCAAATCTGAGACACTGGTAGTATGCATTGACTGTGTATAGGCAGCTTTAAGCAAAAGATAACTGTTATGACTGGCAAAAATGAGCAAACATTAAAGCCACAAGACCCCCACCCACCCCCAAACAGGGTTAGTAGCTATATACAAGTAATCCCAATCATTATTACCCTCGGCGCGCATGCGCAGCGAGGGTGTACAGTGTAGTTAACCCTTGGCGCGCATGCGCAGCGAGGGTTACTGTAGTTGGGTTTGTCTGTGTGTCTGTTACTCTACATCTCACCTCTCGAATGTCTGTTCATCCCACAAACGATACCATCTACCCAACGGGCGACGAAGGTCAGAATGTAAAGGCGGTTTTCTCTGAAAATGCTCCTTTGCAAAGCTAGAGCGCTTCCACCATTGTATGGCTAATGCCGGTAGTCGCCATTTTATCGCTGGCGGATAATGCGCATGCGCTTATATGTAGCACAGCCTACCGCGACGGGGTCCGCTTGCTCTGTCTATCTTGAAGGCACAAGAAGTCACTACGAATGGCGTGTATCGACTCTCGCGTGCTATCTACTACTGTAGCTAGCCCGTGTCAGACTCTCTGCGAGCTACTTCGCCGAGGGTTTGCACTTTAGTGCTTTTCATTACCCTCGGCGCGCATGCGCAGCGAGGGTACTGTAGTTGGGTATGTCTGTGTGTGTGTGTGTCTGTTACTCTCAATCTCACTTCACGAGTGTCTGTTCGTCTCACAAAGGATACGACCTACTTAACGGGCAATGAAGGTCAGAAAATATGGGGGATTTTCTCTGAAACTGCTCCGTTGCAGAGCTAGAGCGTGAAAAGCCAATATGCAAATACACAACGGACGGTGCGGCTAACTACGGCATAATCGCTCCGCGTGCTCTGCGTACCTCGGAGGCACCAGAAGATGCAACGCAGGGCGTGTATCGCCTCTTGCTTCCCATCTAGTAGTGTAGTTAGCCAGCGTCAGACTCTGCGCTAGCTGGCAAGAGACCACGAGTAACAGCTAAACTAAACCCAGCCCATCAATTAGTGGAACTGCGCATGCGTTTACTTACGCGTGCGCGTCACAATACGCCGAGGGTTTGCACTTCAGTGCTTTTCATTGGTTTTGTCTGTGTGTGTGTGTGTCTGTTACTCTACATCTCACCTCTCGAATGTCTGTTCGTCCCAGAAACGATACCATCTACCCAACGGTCGACGAAGGTCAGAAAATATGTGGGGTTTTCTCTGAAAATGCTCCGTTGCAGAGCTAGAGCGCTTCCAGTATTGTATGGCTAATGCCGGTAGTCGCCATTTTATCGCTGGCGGATGTGCGCATGCGCTTATATTTAGCACTGGGCTTACCTCGACCGTTGCTCTGTCTATCTTGAAGGCGCAAGAAGTCACAACGAATGGCGTTTATCGACTCTCGCGTGCTATCTACTACTGTATGTCAGACTCTCTGCGAGCAACTTCGCCGAGGGTTTGCACTTTAGTGCTTTTCATTGGTTTTGTCTGTGTGTGTGTGTGTGTCTGTTAGTCTACATCTCACTCCTCGAACGTCTGTTCGTCCCAGAAACGATACAATCTACCCAACGGGCGGCGAAGGACAGAAAATAAAGGCGGTTTTCTCTGAAAATGCTCCGTTGCAAGCGAAAAAGCTTATATGCAAATACGCAACGGACGGGATGGCTTACAGCGGTCGTGCTCTGCGTATATACTTCGGAGGCACCAGAAGATGCAACGCAGGGCGTGTATCGCCTCTCTCATGCTATCTAGTATTGTAGTTAGCCCGCGTCAGACTCTGCGCGAGCTGGCAAGAGACCACGAGTAACAGCTAAAATAAACCCAGCCCATCAATTAGTGGTACGGCGCATGCGTTTACTTCCGAGGGTTTGCACTTCAGTGCTTTGCATTGGTTGTGATTTACCTTTGCAGTACAGTAGTGAGTCATACAGTGAATGAGAGAAGTGTTCTTAGAAAGATGGTGTTGGAACTCCTATACTCTAATATCCTCTTTCTCTTTGGGACAGGGGTGAGAAACTGAAAGAAAATGCTATGGTTGTTGGTCAACATATTATGCAACTCTCTTTCCCTCCAATTAATTGCTCTAGCTACATCAGAAATGCATGCTATTCATACAAAGCACGCAACAATCTCCCAAAATGAATGAACTTTACTGATTAACACTTACCAAGTCAAGCCATTGCCATAATATCATTACACTGTAGGTTGCAGCTACATTACAAAAAGACACATACATCAACAGTGTTCTCTATATGTGGGTGTCATCGTACTCAGTAAGAGGTAAGGCAAGTTCTAGACTAGGCAGTGTCAGCTCCCTCCCCTCCCTTCCCACCAGCCAATACGACTCAATGGGCCTTCTGGCCGACCACATGGTGTAGTCAGGACACCTCTCAAACTGAAACTGTCCCGCCGAGGCCAGCAGCTCCTGACAGGGCTTGCTCACACATATCTGGAGTGCCAGCCCTGTCAGGCAAAGGTTACGAGTGTGACTCAAAGAGAGTCCAAACAGTTTGTAGTGAGGTATTCGAGAACCATCGCTCCCTCCTGAAGTCTGGAGACCGATGACCCCAGCAGAGCAGGACCCCTCTAGATATTTCGTAAGAAAACTGCACTGAGTAATACTCTGCCTTTTCACCATGTTAGTGTGCAACCGCACGCCGGGAAAATCTTGCATGAGCGCCTTCAGCCGTGATACCCAGGGCTTGGACATAGTCAGCCTTCCTTAAAACATCGCTGTCGTGAAAACCTTCAGATGTCGACAGGACATACAATATTAAAATGTACACATTCTATAAGCTCCAGCTATAATAATTAGCTATACTTTCTGTATTCCCTTGCCCCTCAATTATCTTACGTGATGAATGTGTCTCATGATCCTGTTGACAGCCTGCTTTGCCATAGCAATAGTGGGGTCACCTTCAATAGCAGCCATGATGACTATTTCCTTGTCAGTGCGTTGTTACAACAGCAATAGCCAAACCTTTATAGTTTGCCTGTAAGGTAGTTCCCCCTGGGAATCCCCTACACTTTCCTGGCAGCTCGGTCAAACATTCCTTGAATTGTACCAGTTCCTGTTAGCTATCATTATTCATTTGCTCAACTGAAGTAGTACATGTCTAAGGAAAACTGAGTTTACATGAATCTACCAGTGCCAAATTCAAATGAAAGCCATGGCTGCACTTTTATACTCTACTACGGACAAGTGCATGGGAGTATAGCTCACAGGAAACTGCCTGAGAAAAGTCTATAGTCTATTTCCATGTCTCATTTGGCTGTCCAGTTATTATGTAGCTATCACCGTGGTTCATTCCATCAAAGATATTCTCTCAGTTACACTGGAAGGCAATTATGGATATATTATTATATCGGAGCCGTATAATGAATGTGAAAAGTTTACATTCTTTAGGAGAGCTTTTAGTATGAGCATAACTATCACTATAATTATACACGTATATTTTAGTAGTTCCCTAACAGTGTTTTCTGGTGTTATTCCTTCTGGTCTGACTCAATAGTTGACCTGGGAGAGATCAATAGTGTGGATTATGCTGACAAGCACTGAGGCATCTCCTCTGATTCCACTCTCCCACACATTGTTGGCAGGATTAGCAGGATCAACGACACGAGGACGGGCTGGCAGGAGATTGCTGTACTCTGCCAACTTATAAAAGTCCTCCCAATAGACACTGATCAAAGAAACAAGAAAGAGTGACTAATAGGGGGTGTAAAATACTCACTCGAATAAAGGAGTCTTCACCAATGACATTAGTTCTGTAGTGACCCTGTAAAAAAAATAAGTAACATAATCTGCTCATAGATAGGGCACTAAAAACTTACTCTCTGGGTCCAGCTCCATAATACCGCCTGTTAGCAGTTTCATAGGCCTTCACAACCAGGAGAGACATCAGGTATGATGACGGTCTCCCAGGCACGTCAGCACCAAAATATTTATTCCTCCAGGCTTTAGCTCTGCGGATGTACTCTTTCGCCTGGAATCAATAAAAAATTGTTTAATTCTTAGACAGTAAAATTCAACTTTAATAATATACCTGACTATCCACTCTTTTAAAAAATTCAATTTGCCATTTTGAGGCACAAACAGTGAATCTGAAAAGTTCTCAACATTTGGTCAACAAGCACAGTCAAAACAAACTGGTTATAGCTACTATCACTCACATGTCGCGTCTCTCTCTGGATAAAGACTCTAGGAACTGATAGAACTCCCTCGGATTGCTCCAGAAAGGACTGACTAATAGGTCTACACTCAGATTCACTCCTTTGTATGAACACTTAAATTGGACCGATCGATTGTTATATCCTGGTGTGTAGCTCGTAATTCCAAATTCCCTTTCTATAAACTCTTTGAGTTGTGAAGTCCAGTTGCCAAAGCCATTATATGAGCACACAACTCTAGCAGAGATATCTGTGGAGAGGCAAATAAATATCGGCAAGTATGCTGAGTTTCCTGGAAGTCCTGTATTGATGCATATATAGTTATGTAATATACGAGTCCAAACAGTTTGTCTTAGCTATGATTACCCTACAAACCCCTCTGAGCACTTCATGAAGTTTCAAGAGTCCGAGGAGTCACTTTAAATCGCTTTAGTCAGTTGCAACAACGAGAAAGCAATACACTCAGAACATACAAATTGACCACTGATAAATAAACAGAAAGCCAGCACTTACATGCTTATACATTGCATTATGTTACCTCTGGAATACAGAACCAAGTCAATGTCATAGTGGCCTGGTACAACAGTACCATGTCCCAGAGACCCAGCTTTCACTATCTCACTAATGTTGAAGTTCCTGAAACGAGTCTGCAAACGATTGTCAATCCCAAGAAAAGTGTGACCCTGATAGACTTACTTCCAGTCGTGAAACAATCTGATCTACAGCTGCCCTTGGCTTGGTAAGGTCCTCTGTCAACAAAACATGGACCTACAACACAGCAGCAGTAGCAGAGAGAACCTTACCCATTTTCCTGTAGTTGGCCTCTCTTTCTTTCTCAGCAAAACCCCTCAAATGTGCAGTTGTGACGTTAGACTATAGAAATGCTGACGCTTTTAACAACTGGTCACAGAACAACTCAGGTGATTTCACTTAGCTAACTGCTGACTCTCGATCTCTACCCAGAATGGGAGTTATTAGGAAATTCCCCAGAGCTAGAGTTAGCAGCCAATAGCAGCCATGAAAAGGCAAATAGCTAAACATAATCATTGTTTTTCCTGTAGGGTAGTTCCCCTGGGGGATCCCCTATATACACTTTCCTGGCAACTTGGCCAAACATTCCTTACAGTACCTAGTGAATTGTGTGCCAGTTCCTGTTAGCTCATTTGCTCAACTGAAATAGTACACATCTAAAGAGAACTGACCTTAGGTCAATCTACCAGTGCCTATATCAAATGCAGTCAAAACCATTGCTGCACTTGATGAATGAAAAGCACTAAAGTGCAAACCCTCGGCGAAGGTCTGACACGGGCTAGCTACAGTTGTAGATAGCACGCGATAGTCGATACACGACACTCGTTGTGGCCTTCAAGCTGTGCTAAATATAAGCGCATGCGCAAACCGACAGCGATAAAATGGCGACTACAGGCATTTGCCATACAATGCTGGAAGCGCTCTAGCTTAGCAACGGAGCATTTTCAGAGAAAACCGTTCGAAATTTCTGACCTTCATTGCCGGTTAAGTAGGTTGTATCGTTTGTGACACGAACAGACATTCGAGAAGTGAGATTGAGAGTAACAGACAGACAAACCCAACTACTGTAACCCTCGCTGCGCATGCGCGCCGAGGGTTAATCAATACTATAAGGATGATAAAGTGCAAACCCTCGGCGAACTGCGCATGCGCGGTACCGCTAATGGTATTAGTATGCGTGGTCTCCCGCCCGCTAGTAGAGTCTGACGCGGGCTAGCTGCAGTAGTAGATAGCATGCGAGAGTCGATACACGCCATTCGTTGTGACTTCTTGTGCCTTCAAGATACACAGAGCAAGCGGACCCGGTCTAGCCTGTGCTAAATATAAGCGCATGCGCATTCTCCGCAGCGATAAAAATGGTCGACTACCGTACATTGCTGGAAGCGCTCTAGCTTTGCAATGGAGCATTTTCAGAGAAAACCCCACATATTTTCTGATCTTCGTTTCCCTTAAGTATCCTTTGTGCGCATGCGCGCCGAGGGTTAAATGTGTAGGGGGGATTAGCTAAGGGAACATCCCCCCGTAAAACTCCATTGCTGCAAAAAATTGGCACTTTAGATGTCAGTTGTTCCACTTGATATACCTTCTTTCATACATCGTTTGGCAAGGTCAGTAGCTAGCTATATAGAATACTATAAACCCTCGGCGCGCATGCGCAGCGAGGGTTCAGTAGTCGTTCTGTCTGTCTGTGTCCGCGCGAGTTCTAGCACTACAGGCTACGAGGCGGCCAATGAGTGGCATCACGGGTTGTGAACGACGAGAAGATTGATACTAGTGGAAATGTTGATTGTTGGCGAGCGGGAGCGACCCAACTTGGGATTTGTCTGCTATGTTCGGGCTGCACAGCTTTCCTTTCGTGAAGCAAGACAGAGGATGCACCTGTCGCGTACTGTATATTGCCAGAACGGTCAGCAGGTGAGCAGAACGGTCCTTACCTGATGCTGTGGTCCACCAGGCAGCTGGATGGCAGTAGGCTAGGCAGCGATCGATCGGGCTGCCCGGCCGACAACGCGGCGTGGTCCACCAGGCAGCTGACATGCAGCAGTATGTGCACGAGCAATGCTAGCGCTTGGAACCATGATGACTGGGAAGAGGTACAGCCTCGGTCAGTCACCGAAGGTTGCAGAGCATGCCGTCGAATGGGATCAACTGAGGAGAGTTCTCTGCCTGGCTAGAGCATATCATCGCGAGGCATGTGTGTGAAAAAGTTGGAAATAATTTCGGATAAAAAGAAGCTCGTACAAAGCCGCGCATGCGCACTTACACGACGTACGACGAACGCATAAATTCCCTAACAACGCGCATAATGTGTACGTATACACCATAACGCACGCGACTCCGAGGCGGCAGGCGGCCAAAGCGGCGCACGCTGATTGGGACCACGTGGCCAGCAACCATTTTGTTTTCCCTCATTTCTCTGTGAGACTAGACTGAGAAGACGGTTGAGTTCGTTGTAGCTCACTAGGGAGGAAAGAAAAATCAGTAAGTACAACAATTCTACCAGACCTGGTGATGCCATTGCCAACCCATTACTTTACATAAGGGTTTGCACTTCAGTGCCTTTCATTTCAACACTGATTGACTACTGATGATAACTGATTTGGGGAGGCAAGGCCACCACATCACTATAAGGCAAAACATTTAATGTTACTAGAGGCTTATTGTGTATTCCATGGTGTATATATAATGACATCCATTATATGAGGACACATTTCTTACATAAGGACAACTTTTCTCTCCCCAATAATGCATGTAATATCAAATAAAGACTCCACTTCTCTATCATGGACACTATGTCCCAGTTGGGGTCTAGATTTATAGC